TAGGTTCCCGTATGCCTATATAAAAGTTTAGGTGTCTAGTAAAAGCTGGATATGCAAATAAAAGAAGAACATTTTCTCATAATTCTCATGGGCAAAACCACCATTTTGGCTTTGTTATAAGGATATCCAAAGGATATTAATGAAAATTTCCAAGGGTATTCAAGGATAACAACTTTAATGACTAGGACAAAATCGTTCTTTCATTTGATAACCATATTTCTGTACATTATGAAATTTTTTTGAAACCGCTATCTTTATTTAAACTTAAAGGTGAAAAATCAGTGAACAAACTGAAAATATAGCAAATTTGCTGTATTTGACCTGTAGGTTAGCGCTTATATCGATTTCATTATATGTTAGAAAAAAAATCAAAGTATAAAGCACGCTAATACCTGTAGGGAGGATACTTAACCTTTATATATCCTGGAGTAGTGAAGGTAGAGGAATACAATTTGGGTTGCTGATAGTGCATAGTATTGTTAAAGGATTTTAATAAAAATCGTCAAGGATAAAAACTTTACAGGACATTTTTGAGGTCTTTGACCACACCTGTGAAAAAAGTCCTTGATATCAGTTTCCTCATTTAGCGCGGTGTTATAGGTATTCGTCCATAAAATTCCTTTAACTAGGTGACCGAAGACCTAATGATGTTAAGGATTACATGTTTTTTTGTGAGACGTGGGACTCCCATAGAAGCTCGGAATAAATCTGAATAGTGAATCCTTTAAGGATTTGGTGGAACAAAGCCGTCCAACTTTTTCCTGATAGTAAAGGGCAGAACACTAGTTTTGGTTGGTTTAGCGATAGGCCATATTCAGTGTTCTTTGTCCATCCCTGCAAACAACTGAGAGAGATGGGCGTGAGGGAAGCAATTGCCAATCACCGGAGCAAGAGAGAAAGCATGACACCTTCAGATCAGATGTACAGTGTAATAACACCGTTACTATTCAACTTACGCCAGAAATAAAATTATTTTTAATTTTCCAGCGCATTACAGCTGTTGCTTAATTTTATGTTATTTAAAAAGTTTCCATAAAATAATAGTATGCATTAGGGTGAGCCTTAAATTATCAAAATCTAAATTTTGTAGGGGGCATTCCATATTTTGATCTACGTACCAAATAAAAACACCCACGAAAATTTCAAAATTTATCTAAAACGAAATTTAAGCGTTCGATATTCGGGTTTAAAAATGAAAAAATTAAAAAAAAACACAAAAATTCGACAAAATCTCGACTTGAAATCTGATAAATTTGACATTTTATTGAAACTTATTCATATACACTAGGCGACAAATGACAGTGTAGACCTTGTTCTAATATAATATTCTCAATTATTTTCATGAAAATTTTTTTGCATTAATTATTTATAAATATTTCGTTCATTCTTCACACTTTATATGCAGTTCACAAAAATTCTAAAAATTTTTAACTTTTTATTCAGAATTTCTAGAAAATTTTCGAGTATGCAGCTTTGTAGCCCATTCCGTTTTTAACCGACTTCCAAAAGGGAGAAGGTTATCAATTCGCCGGAATGTATTTTTTTTTTGTATGGATGTCACCGCATAACTTCGGACCACGTCAACCAATTTTGTTAATTCTTTTTCTATCAGAAAGGTAGTGTCACCGATCATTGGATCACGAAGAAATTAACGGTACTCCTAAATTTTTATATGAGAATTGAAGTCGGTTTTGTTTTTTGCTTACATATTACTTGTTTATATAACAAGTGCAACTTACAAAAACTGGCGTTGATTTTTTTAAATTTTGTTGCTAACGGTCTCGCACATTTTATTTCATAAGAAATTCAGGCTTATATGGTGTACACATTCATTTGTCGCTTAGTGCATGTATGTTAATTCATAAACTCGCTGAGTTATATCTGGTGAAAGTGAAATTAGAAAATTAGTAAATTTTATGCGATAAAAAAAATTAAACATTTTAAACCCTGGTAGTCAACCGTTTTTCTTCTGAATTTTGAAATTTTGATGAATGTCTTTATTTTGTACTTAGAACAAAATAAAATAGGAGCGCCATTATGTTGATATTTTTAAGGACCGCCCTAGTATAAAAACTTGCGCAATTGAGAAACATTTTTCATTATTACTTTGCCAAAGATATGTATCTACTGCCGTATTATTGAATTTTTTATGCCCACAACCTTCACTCCGTGTTCGCCGGAAGTGCACTCAATATGAAACTAATCACAATTTCTTTCATTTCATACGTGACCACCTGCAAACCTGTCAACAACAACAAAAAATCAACTTCGACGTTTTCTTAACTATCGCATCGCCCGCTGCCGCCCGCCATTAGATGTGGCCAGGAGACACGTGTCATACCGCGTATACTGCAATTACGCTCCCACTGGATGAAATCGGAGAAAGAATCGATGCGACTGTTGGAGGCGGGCATCACCAAGGAGGTGATGAACAGTGCCATAGCGCAATTCTGCCTCGAAATCATCGCCAAACATGGTGAACCAGCACCACGACTATGCAACAAGGATCCGTTGACGCTGAAGATGGGCTCCTACGTGATAGAACTTTTTCCAAATGTAATTATCAAATGCTGTCAGCATCTGACATATCGTGCACTTGACACGTCACTTAACTGTAAACTCTCTTTTTACACTCTCTCTGTCCGCCTACCTTGGCTATGGTGTTGCAACTATGTAACTAATGCAACTTTGTCTTTTTAGGCGAAATTCTTGTTTATGGTACGAGATGGGCGCGCCACTGTGCATTCAATCATCTCGCGGCACGTAACGATAACCGGCTTCGATCTGACCAGCTATCGGCAATGTATGCGGAAGTGGAACACCGCCATCGAAGTGATGCACAACCAGTGCAAGGAGATTGGCAAGGAGCGCTGCATGATGGTGAGTACGATTATGATAGTGGGCGTTTAGTACTAACGAAAAACACAAAAAAAAAATAAAATAAAAAAAAAACACGTTGGGGATGTAGTAGGAGTATTTACTAGTTCGCGTACTTTGGGGGTAAATGGCGTAGGATGTGGAGTGTGAGAAGTCGTCATTGATTGATTGGAACTTGTAGCATATTGACAAATATGTAGTAGGTAGTAGAAGCAGAAAAAAGATCTACAACATTAAGCTGTCAGTGAAAAGTGAAAAGAAAAAATGTAAAACTTTCGCGTTATTTGTGCATTGTTGCCGGAATTTTCGCTGGTTTTGGCGATTGAACTTTTCACATTTTACATTTTCCATTTTCCATTTCACCATTTGCATTTTAATTTTCAATTCGCATTTTCCATTTGATTGATGACTTAATGGTTATGTCTGTTGTGAATACTAAATCGGAATAAATGAACTACAAGCATTTGTCATTTAGCAGCGTACTCAGATAAAAAAAAAAACAAAAAAAACATTAAAAAAACTGCGTATTTCACATTTCATATCCTCGTTTTATTGAATTTAAATTTAAATTGTATTATATATTCTCATGCAAATTTGTGTATCGTTAATACAAATCTATGTATCGTTAATCCATTTATTCCGTTTGTTTTTGCCATTTGACAGGTTTATTATGAACAGTTGGTTCTGCATCCAGAAGAATGGATGCGAAAAATATTAAAATTCCTCGATGTACCTTGGAATGATGCGGTGTTGCACCACGAAGAATTCATCAACAAGCCAAATGGTGTGCCGCTGTCAAAGTAAGTTTGCGAAAAATTTCTTTTTACATAGATATGGGTTAATCAATGTCCAATCGACCATGTCCATGTCGATTAGACATGGATTAACCGATTTTTAATTTGGGTGAATTTTGGTCAGACGTTCTTTTATCATATAACGAAGTTCTGCCAAAGGAAAACAATTAATTTTTTTTTCGGAAAGTGAAGCAAAATTCTAAATTTTACAATTTCCGGGATTTGGTAAGAATATTTTTTGAATACCTAAAAAACTAATATAGTCTAGTCTCGTTTTAAAGGTGATATTTATGGCTGCATAGAAAAAATATATAAAAAATTGAAAAATAAAATTTACAGAATTTGGAAAATAAAATTTTTTTAAATCGAAAACTTGTAAAAATTTGAGGTTTAATGTTTATATATTTTGTTTTTTTAAGTAATGGATTTTGAACTTTGAAAACATGTCAAACAATTTTAATTAAAATTTATTTTCAATGATCAAAAATTCATATTAAAAAAAAACAAATATTCCTGAAAATTTTAGTATCTTTTAGGACCAGTTGGAGTTTAAAAGCTCAGTTACTCTAGACTTATGATGCAAAATTTTTTCGATGTAACACTCAACCCTGTAAAAGGGTATGTTTTTGCCTCTTGTCCTTGTCCGTCTCACGTACTTCATAATATTGTCGTTTTGAGCAATTAAATTAAAATTAATTAAAATGTCTCAAAAATTTCCGAAAAAAATCCCAAAAAGAGAAATCTTAAGAGGTCTTGAAAAATACAGAAAACAAAATATGCACGAAACATAAAACGCTCATAAAAATCAACTGGAACAGCCCAAATCCCGATTTTTCGGGAATTTAATTTTAACATCAATTCCTATAAACGATTCTTTTTTGGTCACAAAATATCAGGCAATC